GGCTTGTCCTCGCCTCACCCCCACGCTGCCCCTTCGGTATTTCTCAATGACCGGCGCTGCGAGGGCACTTCCGACGCGGGAGGGAGGGGTGTCATTAACGCTCGGTTTATCAGTTCCTTCCGGTCTGCCCGGCTCGGCCCAGCTCGTCCACCACGCCCGGGGCGCTCCGACGCTTTCACGACTCGGTTTAAGTAAGCGGTCGCGTGTGGCGGTGTGTGCCAAGCGATTTTATAGCCCAGCCGTCTCCCCCCAAGACCCGCTGCTAGCCGTGGAAACCCAAGCCGCCTGGCAATGAAGGGGATGATGCAAACTTAGAAAGTGACCCGGCGCCCGGGAGCGGTGGCGAGAGGCGGCCCGGCCGGGCATGAATGGCCGGGCGCGGTTGCATAATCCGCGCGGTATAAATAGCCGGCGGGCGGCCGCAGACGCGCTCGCTCGCTCGCGTGTACCGTTATCGTGCAAGGCTCCTTCCCTGGGCGGCTCAATCCCAGGTCCTCTTCCCCGTCAGCTCGATGCCAGGATTTGAAACAGCCTAGACCAAAGGCCCAGCCCCCGCCTCCCTCCTCCCCTGAATTCATGTATTATGAATGAAACGCCAGCCCCGCGGCTTCCCGAGGTCTCCACTTCAGGTAGGAGAAAGGCTTGAGTCCGCTCGGAGGTCCCCCCAGAATTGGGTGTGTGCGCCCCTTGGGGGAGGGGCCCATAGCAGGAAATCACTGACCGGGCTAGGAAGGGAGCGTTCTGAGAAAATGTAATGCTCAGGGTTTGACTCGAGCTTCAGTTTACAACTGAATCAACCTCAGTCGATTTAAGAATGGATTATGGAAAGGGTCCTTGCACTGTGCCTGCTCGCGCTCCTGCCGCTGTCTCACGAAAAGTGCAGTTTCATCCAGAGGAACGGTTCCTACCCACTACCACCGCACCTGCTTACCCACCGCTAGAGACCGCAACGCCCCTCCGGTACCCCACTGCCCTTAAGAGATCCTGGGGAAACCTTGAGGTTAAGAAAAGCTAGTGCGAGTCACTTCAGCCATTTTCTAGTTCTGAAATCCTCCTTAAAAGCCTATGAGTTTTCACATTTTTAAATTTTTTCTAATTAAAGTATACAGAGCCCCCCCCCCGCTCTAAACACCAATTGCAATTTAGCTTCTTAAAACTGTTGGTTTTGGCAAAACGTAGTGGTTCACACCTCTCTCTAATCCCAGGCTTCAGGGAGCTCGAGGCCTGCCTGAATTAAGTAGTGAGACCCTGGCTCAAAAAAAAAAAAAAAA